GACTTTTCATGTCACAGACTTTCAGGGCATTACACATTATCAGAAACAAGAATATATTATCAAATATAGAACCATTTATAGATTTAACACAACAAGAAACAAGTGCTGACAATAAGTTTCTAAGAAATGAAGGAATTTCATAGTACTATTCACCGCCAGAAAAAATGGTTACCACATTTCGATGATTTTCTAGCTACGGCTACAATCTTAAAGTATCACACAACATTGAACAATGGTAAATGCATTATTTACTTACAGAAAATTTAAGACACATTACAGAGGTTGAAACAATTTTATATTTTCATATTATAACATTATTATCATCCAACTTGAATAATACAATCGACTATTAATATAAAAGTAATTACATCCAAAATGTTAACAATCGGACGGCAGACATATTTGACGAGTTCATAGACGACAATGCTAAGTAATGTTGAAATATTCAATTATAAATTTTTCTACATTTATTTTCAAATATTCTTTTGCGGAATGTATTAATCTTCTTACTGAATCTAACACGATTAACTGATAATCCAAGTTAACTATTAAAAGTTGAGAATTTAGATACAGTCTTTAAGACTAAACATACCAGCACATTATATGTATATACCTACCTATTTCTACCGTAACCAGTCGAATAACTGATTACAAAATAAAAGTAAACAAGTCAGGCGATAAACTTTTTTTACTCGAAACAGAAACAGAAAGAAAGACGAAAATTGAAAAACTGATTAATTGGATAATATAAAAATTGATATAAAGTTAAATGAACGAACAGAAATGCAAAGATTTTAAATCAAATATAAAAACCGATCATTTTACCGGTTGTGGTATGTTTAGTGTTAAGAATCTAGGTTAAAATAAACCTATGTAAGCACCACGATCGAAGGATTGAACAACGCCTTTAGAATAGACAGTATAAGAAGTAGGTATTTACATACCTAAATGAATTGGGTACTTGAAGTGAGTAAATGCTGCAATATCCATTCGCTTATCTACACAGAGAACTATCAACACGTTTACTGCTGTTGGCTCCAATTAACATCCCTCGACTGTATTTAGCATATTTCGATGTATCACGAATTTCTTTAAAATTTATGCATTAAGTTACTATAAACAAAAAATGTATCTATTTTTTACGATCTTATAATATAAAAACGAATCATTTGTAATATTATAAATAAAAGCTGTAGTCTAATTAGTCTGCTACCCAATCTAAGCAAAATTTTCGAAAGGATTAAATATAACTACTCTAATACATAACAAAGAGTAGTGCATTAATAAACAAACAGTTTGGATTCAGACAAATCATTCCACAATGCATCAACTCCAAAACATAAAACAATTGCAATATATTAATCAAAGTGAATAATACCACGAATTGTACAATTAAATTGCGATAACTGATTAAAAAAACTTGAAAACGATCTTGAAATTTTCTAAAATTCAAATTATAAGAAATTAAATAAATTAACTCTTTTAGTGCCGAACAACGATATATCGTTACGTATACACGATGGCGCCGTACTCTTCGCGTCGCAAGAAAACTCTGTCTCAAAATAAATTTATAAAATGTTATAAATGGTTGAATTCTTCTTCAGAAGCTCTATGTGAGATGTTCCACGAAAAAATTGAAAAAGTTGTTTATGAGTTTAACTTTTGGTTATATTCGGCTATAATTGATATTGTGTATACGCTAGAGCGATAAAGAAATTCGGCACGCGAGATTTGCTACAAATAATTTTGTAGTTACTTTTATAAGTAGTTTGGAAACAAATAATTGAAAATGCTATATTTATGCTTTATGCTACGTGTCCTATATAAAACTAAGACCAAACCATGATTCTTCTTATTTGTAAATACTGTTTGTACAAGAAAACTGATTTCTCCATTTTTCCTGATGACTATCAATAAATATTATTAGTATGATTGTCAACAAATATTGAAATACAATCGGCGCTAATTCATTCTTCCTTTATTTCATTCTTACCCTTTTTTCAACGATTTTTTTTCAAGCTTCGCTAAATTACATCAAATTGGTTCGGTATTCTGGACTACATATTATTCTACACTTAGGTACAATTCTTCCAGTCAGTACTAAAAGGGTTAATATGCGTTTACACTTATAATTCATTTATAATGATAAATATGTTACTGCAGTTGTTAAATTGCGTCTTTGAATAACTGAAGGTAAAGTACCCACTCAATTAGTGATTTCACATTGGCTTCTATTAAAAGATCGATCATACCAAACCATAACCTCCTTAAAAAATATTAAACTTCCGTCTCAAACATTTTTCACTAAACTATACTTTCTTAGTAATCGAAATGTGTGTGCCACCCTATGTATACAGTAATGCAAAATGTACATTTTCATCATTCAATTATACGAAGTACAGAAATAGCTAGAATACCCTATCATATTATCCTGTATTGTAACTGTTATGGGTAAAGTACTGACTATTATCTGCTAAGAGTATAAATCATAAAAGTAGCTTGTGTTATCTCACAACCCTAAGCCGGTTATATGCAGGTAATGAACAACTAACTTGCTGTCTGGGTATCGCCGACAAGACCTTCTTATGCTCATAATGTACTTACACTCTGGAAGTCCTTGACTGAACGTGTAGTAAAGTCACCATAAGGTGCTATATTCGTAGCTTTATGTGTTTTACGATTATGGCTGAACATTTTGAATTAGAAACGTCGTCGAAAACTATGTCACTGCATATATTTCCATAATGACAAAAACTTTATATAACCTTACAATGAATTAACACTAGAAATACCAGATGGTTCAAAACAACTCCTTTCTAATTTCTTTTTTTATTATTACTGCAAAGATGTAACTCCTTCTTTTAAAGATCCTTAAATGAATTGATACAGTAACATGCAGACTAAACAAACAACCGAAATTTCATTAACTACACTTCCATTATTTCTTTAAAAGAATAAGGATTAATCAATTCGACTGTTTGATAGTTCCAGTATTAAAAACCACCATCAAGATTCTATTATAATTAACCCCTCGCAAATATAATTTATTTCTCAATTATGGTCGATACAACTACTTTGCCCTTAATAATTTATTGCAAAAAGAGAACAATTTTAGGCAATATGTTTGCTTGTAAAATATAATTATTGATAACAGAAGAATAAAGTTGAATATTGATTTCAAAAGAATATATTTAATATTAATATAAGTAATATTTATCTGTGTTAAATTCTCTTTAAAGTCATCGCCACAAGTCTGACGCGTTATAAAGCAAGGCATTAATGCAGAACGTATTCAGTCAATAGACTTCTTTTTGCATAAATTAAACATTTATGTGCAACATTTCAGAGAAGAGAGAAAATATGTAAGCAAATTGCGAAATGTTATTTGAAGTGACTTACAGTAAGAAAAACAAATTTTAATATGTACAGAATTGTGTGTCTAATTTAGCGTAGGCTAAAGCAATCCTTAATTTCCAACCCCTTCCTCCCTATCTACTACTTTGTAACGTTAAAGATTTAACATTTATCATTTCAAAACAGTTTTTTATTGAAAAAATATTGACGTTACTGTTAGATCCGGTTTCCATGATACAAGATACAGCTGGAAATACAAAAGCACGGAAGTTAACTAGATTTCAAGTGATATAGCAGAAAGAATAATATTTCTGGCATAGGGGGCGACGCGAATAGTAGCACCAACTGCAAGCAACCAAGTGGCGCAGTGCGCCACCCAATAAATTTGGTCCGAGAGCCATGCTTGTTATCAAGGACAACTAGCTTCGGAAAATATTTATAAAAAGAGAACCACCCCTCCATTTTTATGATTTATTTTATAGTGCATTAACAAGATCGTCACCTTGAGTACTGTCGTGAAAATTTTGGTTGAATATAGTCATTTATTAAACACTTATCACAACAAAAAGGTTAACGTACAAGTAAGTATATACTTAATGCCTGCTTAAAGTTCACTAAATTCGCGAGTCAGTAGTGAAATTCTCAAGTGTTGAATAGCGTTTCTCTTCGAGGAACTGTCTCGAGCACGACTTGACAAAGTGGGAGGATAGATATATAGATATATAACGAGCGCAAGTGAGATGGATGCGGCACACCGAACGACGATCTTTAAACTTTTCGGGATTCGACCATTCAAAAGTATACCGTGACTGAAAAAAATAAATATGTAATAAAGAAAATTTCATTTTCAGTTATTTTCAGCTTACCTTTGCAAAAGTAATACTGCAATTGTTGATATTTTTCTAATTAAAGTGAGTACAAACACAACGCAAATTGAATTAGTCTTTATTGATTTAGAGCATTCCAAAATTTTGTTATTTGTATTAAACTGATAAAATTAGTCCGATTTATGTTTTATTTGGGCTCGGTTTACCCGGGAAAATTTCAACTACACATTAATGCTATAATTATAAAAGTAATTGTCTTTATTAGATATTTACTTTTCTTAGTTGCAGCATCGTATTAAAATGCATATGTATATTTCTTTTCCTTTCATTATATTCTTTTCTTTTCACTGAGTATCCTTGCCCACTGAGATGAGATTTCGTCGATCCCGAGGTACCGAGTGGTGGGAGAAGGTCTAGATGTCTTGAAAATTTAACAGTACAGATTTTAGTGAAATGTAAGAGGATATTACTGTTTCTTTCTGAACACTATTCACATTTCATTCACCATTTACTCCTAACTATGAAATGTACCTTAACACGTGAAATGCTACGCCGGTCCCTAGGGGTCCCTATTACACGGTCGTGCGTGTCAGTCCTTGCGCACTGATTGTGAGACTAAATATTTTGCTTAGGCGACATCGGTTTTTGTTCAGTCAAGGCTTAAGAAAAAGAATACAATATTTTAAGAAAAGTTAACGTAATATATTAAAAGAATACAACAAAAAGAATAGAATACTTTTTAAAAACTTAATGTAATATATTAAAACAGGATAAACAAAGGTGTGGTTTGTGTTTACATTCATTACAAAAGGTGCTAACTTTTGGTGTTGAATTCTTCGCCATCTCTGAACCTAACGTTTGGGAAATCCTGTTATAGCAATTAGTACAATATCTCCGAGTTTTATGAACACGACCTTCCTTTTTTATCAAATGATGCCGAAGTTGTGTTGTGCTATCAGTTTCTTCATTGTTGCTCTGTGTTATTGCCTGAATCAGCTTTTTGCGAAATTCTGTTATAGATATTCTGTGGCCTGTTGTCTCTTGATACATGAAAAAGGAATTTACAACAGCGGTATTTAATAGAAGTTCGGAGGCTAATTTCCTGTACCACTTCATTGTTTTTCGTAGCGGGTTGCTGTATGCGGCTATTTGATCCGAAAGGTCGATAGATTTCTTTCCCGCATTATAATCAATTACGATTTTTGGTTTATTGACAGTTTGTCTTTTTGTGCGAACAGGTTCCATTTCTACTGAATACTTAGTGGACAGTAATAGCATCTCACGCTTTTCCTTCCATTTTAGAATCGTAATTCCTTCTCGACTCTCTTTCGCAAAACATTCTCCCCGCTTCAGTTTTTTGGCCACTACTTCTTTTGGATTGTCTTTCCAATTGTTTCGAAGAGTACCCATCAAGTACGTGTTTCGTTCCATAAGTTGTTTAGCTAAGTTTATGCTTGTGTACCAATTATCTGTGCATACTGTATGGCCTTTGTGGAATATACCCTGGCACAAATTTATAACGACATTCGATGGGGTTGTATTTACTTCATCTGCCATTTTGTCACTGTAGACACAGAAATTATACGTGTATCCAAACTTGCAGCAAAGTTTGAAAATTTTTATACCGTATTTATGCCTTTTCTGCTTCATAAACTGACAGAATAATATCCGTTCACGAAACGGAATCATGGATTCGTCGATGCAGATTAATTCTGATGGATTGTAATACTTTTTGAAATTTTTGTTCAGCTCATCTAAAATTGGTTGAATTTTCCATAAACATTTTGTCACATCCGTTGTTTCATTGTTTGTGAAATGCAGCACTCTCAAAAGTATCTCAAAACGGTTTCTGCTCATTATTTTTTGGGGAACGGATGATAATACAATGGATCTGTGGACCAGTATAAACTTATACTTGGCAATTTTACGAAGCCCATCCAAATAATGAGTCCAAAAAGGCGCTTGATTTCCCCTTTAATGGTAAGGACCCACCGATTCATACGCTTCGAAGTAATCGTTGATCTTTTTTGTGTTGCGTATATATTCGTTTGTTCACTTATTTCTTGAAGCATTTCTTCGGTGACTAATTGCGCATAGAAAACTTTCACATTGACACAATTCTAAAGTTCTGTACTGCTTGTGTCAACACCGCACGCACCCGTAAAGGTCGTGTGATCCGGTTGATTCCCTCTCGGATCAAACCATTCCTAATTATGTACTGTATTGTCGTCCGTATGCACATTCTCTAATAAAGTTTCGTCTTCGGATGAGAGCAGAACAGGACGACGTCGATTTCTGGACGGCTAAATCAATTCGCTCGATGTATCATTTTCCAATCCACTCAGCATTTTTAGGGAAATAAAAAACTTTGAATTTATGCTGAACAAGAAAATTGGTAGATCTGGAGTAGTAAACGAACTAAACTGTGACTTGTGTGCAACTGAAGATTCGTTAGGCGCCCAGGCATCGTTCATCCTCGCCTTTCGTTTTCTTATCATCTAGCAGAAAGAGAGGATTTTGGGAAAACTAAGAATGTCAATACAAAGAAAAATGTATTAAGACTCCTCTCAAACTGAGGAAGAAGGCCCTTGATAGAAAATTCTCGTCCTCAAGCCGACATTTCAGCGGGCGCATCACGGTTCCTAACACTTCTGCTCATCTGGGCCTGAACGAAACGGTAAGCAAAACGAACTGGGCGCTTAATGTGTTAAAATATGTTTCAACGGATAACCAAATATCACTTTATCTTTATGTGTATAAATACTTATGACTCTTTAGCAAATTATAGTTTATATTATACCTTACGTTATTAACCCCTTGACCTACAATATCGTGTCAGACTCGTGACGAAAATTTTAAACCGAATTTAAAAAATCTAAGTCTTATTCATTTTTTAAAATATAAATTATATATTATTTTTCTGTTATCAATCAGTAACGTTCGGATTAATTATATACATAGAAATAGCACTGAATATGTGTCTTTTCCTAATTAATTATTAACAATAAAGTAGCTGCATTGATTATGGTTCAGAAGTAAATCATAGGGGAAGGGGTTAAAATGTGTTTGGAAACTTGAACTGTCAATGATGAAGCATTTTTGCCTACCTCCAAAAAATATTTTATCAACTAAATTTGATTTACAACATAATAAGTAAATCTTAAATAAGCATCTTTGCCAGCAAGGAACCATTTCTTAATTTTAAGTGAAACATATAAAAGATTTTTACTCAATACTTGTCAAACAATCTGTGCTTTGATATAGTTGTCATCATCATTGTCTTCTGATAATACTACGTATTTTTTACAGGTTACTGTATCTTACTGTATTTTACACGTGCTGTAGATGATTGCAGTTGATGATTGGTTTAATTTATTACTTTGATACTGTTTAATTTTCACAGTGAGTACACTGAAAAAATGGAGCATTCAAATTATACTACGAGAAAATATATGCCTCAAGGAGCATCATATTAAAGATAAATTAATTATTCCAGAATTTTATCCAGAGCGATTAGTAAAAAATATAATACCTCTTTCCTTGGTAGTACATGGTATTTAGTATTTCTACATGTATCAGCTAACTGATGTAATTCAAATTTGAATTCAAATTATCCTAACCTATGATAGTGATAAAACGCTTTTATGTATATGACAAACATAATCATTAAAGTCGAATGAATCGCATATCAGAACCATATACTTACGATGTAGGATACAGGTAACTATACAATATGGAACAGCTCCTAATATGGAATATCACAATATTTCGGAAAATAAATAGCTTGATGTATTAGTTACCATGGAAAACACTTCACTAGTAACAAAAAACAACCATATTAATAGTTCGGCGTTAATTAACAATTTGCCATTGAATGCGAAACATTATTGTGTTTGGTAATACGTTAAATTTTCTGAAAAACGAGTTTGTTAAGAATACATACAGTTAAGAAATAACCCTCATCGTCCCGTTTGCATAGTCAAGGAACATTTAGTTTTTACGATAGAGAAAAAGGCCCGGACACATTAAATAAAACCCTAACCATTCGAGACACCATAAAACAAACAAATTCAGACATTTTCAATACACAAAGGACGGCTTAGCTTCACGACACCCTAACGGTACTCCACACTCCTACTGACGCTACCTGACTTGACCTGTCCGACTTACCCTACAAGGCGTGACCACAAGACAGTAGATTCAACCCCCAACAACTTCATTGGACGAAAATATTTCCCACTTTTTAACATACACACGAAACAGTACACACCCTCATCTCCACAATTAGTATAAGACACACTCGATTGTACAAATCAGGCAGAGTTCATCAAGACAGCGACATCATAGTATTAAGACAAGTATTTTCAACAACAAAATAAAGGGACACACAGTCCGATAAATCAAGCCAATCCTTGTTAATTATTCAAAACTTATTCAGTACGCCAGTGCAACCAAGTTAACAATAAATATCTGGCCTTACAAACCAGATACATAAAATTAACAATTTCTTTGGTCCATTGACCTACATTACACATTAACAAGTTAAACAGTCAAATTTCTTAATATAAACTAGCCAAAACATCTTATTTCTTCATGATTTATCATTAAACATGTTTGTTTTTCACTACTCAAAAGCAACTTACTGCAAATTTATTTTCGTCTTAGATTAGTTGTTCATTTTCTATCGGAATACGTGGGTTTCTAATATGGAACACGCTAGATACTGAGTACACATTTTTTGTTAATGTTATATATTATTATGTTATTATGTTAATTACAATTAACTTAAGCAATTAACTTACATTATGTTAATTTTATTCTTTTTTTCTTTTATACATTGAACATATAAATAACATATCGGGACCACTACATTCTTTGTGAATACAATACATTGAACACGTTTCTTTCGCTTATTATCATTTTTGTAGTTGCCACCATAAAATAAAAACATAAGTTCAAAAAACTGGAAAATTTGTTTATTTATCTTTTTTAATTCCATAAATATTAATTTCTCCTGATAAAACTGAGTTTTGTTCACAAATGACCTGACTTTATTTACATTTTTTACTGTGGTTTGAAGGCATTCAAATTTTTGCATTAGTATCGATCAGTATACGAATGTTCATTAATTCCTGCGTGTTTTGATTCAAGTATCATTAAAAAAATGCATATCTCTTGTTTGGGCAAGCTTTTCAAATCGGATGTTCCATATCAGATGTCGTTCCCTAATTGAAAGACTATATGTGGAAACGGGTGTATTGATGAACGATGAACGTGTGTGCAATACATGAACGACGCAACTGTATGTGCATGTGTGTGTATGAATAAATGTTCAAGGCATTGGAATATTCTAAACTAAATTGATTTCCTATAATATTGATTTTTATATATTAATGATGTTCCTGTTAAAAGAATGTAGAATATTCCAAATGTACATGAAATTAATGCATGGTGACGAAAGTTTTAGAAAGTGTGCGAGTGAGGTGAATATATCCGTATGTATATATTTTGTGCGCAATTTGATTTAGGATTCATTATTTTATTGCAAGTCCTGTAGTAAAAATACTGTTTATTCAAATAAAATATTCCCTTTCTCTTATATGCATTATCACTTTTAGAATTCCATAAATTACACGATTTATCTTTTCTTTCGGTAGACGATACAACTGACAGTCATCAACACATGTCTGGGAAATATCCCAACTCCATTGGTGGATGCTCGGCAGCAGTTGATGTATCACAATTTGATGTATCGCAGAGTTTGATATTTTAGCAATTCAGATGGACGTAGTTTAATTTAGATAGTGATCTACACACATATAAACACGTTACACGTTCACAGCGCAATATCCATATCGTCAGAAAACATAAATAATGTTGCAGAAATAATTTGCAACGATTAATCAATTATTAGTTAGGACCAAAAATTTGTTTCAATTTATTAACAAGTGAATTATATCATTATCCTCTGGTAATGTTTGCGTGTGTGTATTTATTATAATCCTATTATTCAACTCACCAAGGTAAACCGTAGAGTCAGATGATGATGTCATTAGTGACTCACCTAAGAATTCACTATTAAATTTTTCGATAATATCACTTATTTTAGATAACATATTTTTGTTTATAAATCCACACAAATTTTTGTCTTTGAATATTTCAGTTAATTGCAGTCAGGTCGACCAACAATGGATGTTTTACGAACAAGGGTTCCAAAACTAGCAAATAATTGCGTTATTTTGCAACATTTCAGGTTAGAAAGAAATATAAATATAAAGCAGAAGGTTACAAGCATACAGCCGGAAAAAATCAGACGTTTTCACTTAACACTTATTACCAGAAAAATTCGTGAAGTTTAAGTATATTTAGGACATCTCTAGGTGGTATCTTTCCTTAATCCGTTAATTTTGGAATGTAGTTTCAAAAATCTCTCATTGTGCGCACAATAAAGTCAAGCAATGAAGTATATACTCGTTAAATAGAGTGCAAAGGTATCTATAATACAAAAACTAAAGCAAATCAAAGAATTACACGTATATCTGAAAATATTAACTAATTCATCGTTAAAAAGATTAATATCATTTCGAGTTTTAAGATGATGTGTATACTTGTCAAACGCAGTTAACTGGTTAACACTTAGTGTCATCGTATAACACCAATGTAATGTAAATAGAAAGAATCGGTAACGCCATCGATTGATTCTTGTATGAAGTATAAGTACTTACATTGTTATAATAACGTTCTACAAGTTGTGCTTTAGTGAAAGCATGTAAATATAGAAGCTCATTCTAGTCTGTTATGTTTCCTTTCTCAATGCAGTACGTACATAATTTCGTTAGAATTATTGAAAACAATGGAAAAGTGTTCCTTTTTTGTTCTTAGTTAATTTGTTTCCTCTTTTCGAAAAAATTGTAACTGGTACATATATGATACAGTATATGTAGAAATAAAAGTCGTTATACTTTCATTCAGTCAAAGTGTTTTCTAATATGATTTATGAAATATTAGTTGTTTGTCAGGTTACAATGAACGTTTCGGTGTTACACATCGTAAACACATCATAATTTGAATGCAAAATCATATCTATTAATGAAACTAATCCTGCTCAAAATAAAAAATTTGAAAACATTTGATATACATCTCGTAAACCAAGATTGAAATACGGTAATATTCACGCAGAATAATTACTCAAGATTATATCCCTGTTAGAATTACGTTCTCAACAAAGTACCTAAAAATCACCTAAAGTTGGAAACTGGCTTGATATCCAGCAGGACGATACAGGAGCAAGACGAGATCTTTCGCAGTTTATAGTTTTTGTTTAGTTAAATTTTGTTTATAGTTTTAATTAGTTACGCATAACCATATTGGCAAATAGCAAATTAGCATTATAAAAAAATATGAGGACTAACCAATTAGACCCACATACTTCAGGCTAACCATCAAGTGATGTTCCTATAGTATATATTGATGAGGTCATTCGTTTTGTAAATAATTATCCAAGTTAATTTTATTTAACAGATATTTATTATAATTGAAAACATAAAAAACATAGCACTGGTTTTTTGATTAATACTTAGATAACCGCCTAAAAAGAACTATAACTACAACTTCTTTCATATTTTCAATTGAACTCATTGGATTAATTTGGTTAAAAACTTTGTTTTGTAAAAATAAGAATCATATTTGATGAATTGCAAATAGTTCTATTTCAAGACTTACTAAACAACAAAAGAAATGATAAACAAAGTAAAAGGCAATACGTTACTAAGTAAAAAGTGGGCGGTTTTCCCATTAAGTTTGCTAAGCGTTAAGTTGTATGTAAGTACACAAAAGGAATACAACATGTGAGTGAATGAGAGTAAACGAGAAAGTGTGCTCAGTATATTGTAAACAAGAACATTCTAAATTAAATCGCATCTCTCGGATTAGAGGGTCGAAATTAATTGAAATGTATATTCAAACAGTATATGAGTTTATAGTGACCTCCAAGTGGCCTTCAACTGACCTTAAAGTGACCTGAAACCTTGATGCTTACAAAGATTGCGTTGAGAAGTTCTAACTAATTGACAGCTTTTTGGCAAACCTGACTCTGCTACCCTGACCCAAGGAGCCAAGATTTAATCCATCTGTCCCTTTTAAAATCGTACCACTGAAGAGGCTACGCTCCATCTCGTCTATTTCCTTTGCGAAAATTCAAGTACCCTGGAGTCGCCACTAAAACAATCCATCTCGAACTCGAGGTCTAACACCGCCATTAGAATATTACAATCATTTTTCGCGGAATTCTCCGAATGATTAAAACAAAGTTACAGTGTTTCTGCGTAGATAGAACGATACATTCCATTTGTTGTTTACATGCAATGAATCACAAAACTATGCGAACACTGCCAAATGAAACATTTAATTAGTTTAATGTTCAAAAAGTAGAAATTACATTACAAAAGTAGAATTTTCTACAGAAGTAGAAATCACGTTAGTCAACATTTCCAAGAAATATGTTAAATATATTATTTCCATTACGGAATGAAAGCATTTTATAAATGCTCACTGTATATTTTAGCTTTCTGTTGATTGAGAGACCGTCTACTCTTCTTTATATAAAAATACACTTTTGTTCAATAATCTTTCTTAATTATCACATTATTAGCTTTATCCTAGCAGGTAGTATCAATGCTAGTACTTCTAGAACTTAGCAATTCCATAGCTAAAGTATAATAGCAAGTGTTGACATTTCAATATTTTATATGTCATTAATTGATGTAGAATATGTTCGTTTACAACAAGTAACAACAATTAATATCACTTCATATCCTCCTATAGTATCAGCTCAGAAGAAATTCTTAGATCGATTCAGACTACGCCATATTCTCTTTTATTACGTTCAACATTTGCTAATGTTATCATTTTCATGGCCTAGTAGTAAGAAATGGATAACATTGAAATGTATATCATAATGAGTTTTCTTTAGAGATTTATTACTATATCGTAAGCCACCATAAAGTGTTTTCAAATATAAAAATGGTGGATCCACCTCTTGGTTCATAACAAAATTATTAATGTGGAAATTATGCAGAGTAATTTGTCTTTGAACTTCATAATGAACACTTTAAGCTGGTACGATTTTTTAACCCTATTAGCCCTTAACACGGAATACATATTCATTAACTTCGTACATCTTATGACAAGATATAATATAAATACTTTCATCCTGTACTTATGAACTTTTTCAAAATGTATTATTTAAGTAGGTTTATCATGTAAATATATTTTTTTATTAATTGAAATATCTTCTACTAATAATACAATACTCGTCTTCTTTAGTTAAAGTTTAAACACTTCTTATATTTTTTTATAAAGATTTGTACATAAGATGACCTTTTACATCTTTTGAAACTGCTAATTTATAGACAATCGATTTGTTTTTCAAATTAATTTTTATCGTATTACTCTTTTGAATTCTAATGTGTTAAATTTTTTCAGTATTTAATATAAAAATAAAAATAAAAGAAATATATAAACAATGTAACTTAATAATACGCTAGGAACATTTGAATTTTATTGTTTCATGATTGGTGTATGATACAAAGTAGTAACAACAATTACTATTTTTTAATGACTGCAATTAAATGTTTACGTCAAACAAGTAAAGAATTAATTACAAAATATTTATCAGAAAAGGTTTTCTAACAATTTTATATCGAAACATTATTAGTTTATTGTATCTGTTATACGTTTCTATTTTTATTGTTTACCAAAAATTTCACTATTCATTGATTATAAATAAAAAAGAAACTGCACCAGAAACGTGTATACGTCATTTAATGGATCGAACAATCTTTAGTTCTTAAACATTTCTTTCCATTGGATATTTTACAGTTCAAGTAAGTTATTTATTTCCTCTTTCTTTTCTAAAATTAAGCCGTCTAAAAGTGTCTGAATATTATTTCTAGATTCTGATATCATCTTGTTCATCTTTCACTGAACTTGAGCAAGTCCCGTTTATTCACTTTCTTCTTAGCCCAATTACTTCCTGTTCATTACTTAAGTAACTTGCAACTATATTATTAATTCATTTGAGAGTTATTGTAAAAAAGAAATTATTTTTATCAATGATTGAGAATTCTATATGTATCGATAAATGTTTATAGTAGTCCTCAAAAAATTGTTTTATACAATAAAAGAACTTTATTGTTGGACAGTTGTTGTTTAAACCTAAACTTCGATTACCTATAATGGATTGCAGATTGAAGCTAGTGAGAAACATACTCAACGTATGCTAATAAAGAAACGTTACAACTGGCACACCACGAATTTTAACAAAAATTGTTAATAAATATTTTTTATAAACAATTTGGATCAATTTAATAAGAATCTACGTGTTAAGACCGCTGATAATACAAGTGGGTCTCTTTATAAACGTTTAAAATATAATAGAAGTGATCTTAGGAAATATAAACATCTCAGAAACTCCAAAGAAAATTATTCAACAAGTAACAATTAAAATATTACTGCCAGAATAATGAAGGAATTAAATAACTTGAAGAAACAAATTTCTTCTATAAAAAATATTTGTTTCCATCTTAATAATAATTGCTAATCCTTCTTAATCTACCAAAATAATTACATACATACATGAACATACATATATAAAAAAGTTAAATGCGACTGAGCCTATTATAAAAAATGTCTATAATGCATAACCTAATAAATGTAAATTATTTCTGAAAAGATTAATTGGATAATTAAATCTAATTCTTTTGCATAAAATTCTTCACATGACTTCATACTTGGTAGTAACATAAAAACTATTTACAATTCTAAATGTCAAAAGCTGTTCTAATACTATATTTCCAGCTCCTTTCTCTTCAAACAACTTCTACGTTATAGACACGTGTGACAACGTTAACGGATAATTACATAGTTATATTAATTACATAGTAGTAATTTACATAGTTATATTAAACTTTGTAAATATCGTGCTATAAAATCGTTATTCGAAATATATTCTACCTTTAGTAATTACATTTAACATAGAAATGAACAAAGAATT